TCGAAACATCTCTAGTATAAACACTTTATCCTAATGTCTCAAGATTACAAAACTATATTTCTTTAAACCCAAGACCCAACTCAAAACAAAAACCAGCCCTACTAACCCAAAATGGAAGAAACGGGTAAAAGATAATGGATGGATGGTTTACAGTCAGGTGCGTTCTATAGCTCGGCAATTACGGTAGGTCAGAGAGGTACAAGGATGCAAGGCCATAAATGTCAACAGGACAATTTTTAAAATCAATTTGACACGTACTGGGAGCCAGTGAAGGGAGGACAGAACTGGTATTGGTGAAAATTCCTCATTGTGACTCACTTAGTCAAAACGGGTCAAGAAAATAGGGTCACGGGGGTCGCTGGTGCCCACGTCAAGCAATCACTGTGCAAGGGGCGGGGTACACCCTGGACGGGTCGCAAGTCCATCACAGGGACACATAGAGACAAACGAGACAAACAACCATTCACTCTGTCATTCACACCTAGGGACAATTTAGAGTTACCAATCAGCCTAACATGCATGTTTTTGGTCTGTGGGAGGAAACCGGAGCACCCGGAGAAAACCCACGCATGCACGGAGAGAACATGCAAACTCCACCCAGAAAGGCCCCTGGACCGGGATTTGAACCAGGGACCTGATCGCTGAGAGGCAGCAGCTCTACCAGTTGTGCCACCGTGCTGCCCATGACTGTAAACTAAACACAGTAAATTTAAGATAAAATATTAAATTCCGATGTGTACAGGGAGCCAATGAATGGTGGACAAAACTGGTGAAATATGATCAAACCTCCGCAGCATTTTTCACCAGTTCCGTCCTCCCTTCCCTTCCCTGGCTCCATACATGTCAGAATTCATTTTAAAATTCTCTTGATCTTTAAGTGCATAAATGGCTTTGCACCTCTTACCTCTCTGACCCGCTTCAACCACGTTCCTTCTCAGGCGTCGAGATCATCTGACCAGCTGCACCAAGAACCAGGCTGAAGCTCAGATCAGGCTTTTTCAATCACGGACCTTAAACTCTGGAACGATCTGCCCCTAAACATTAGACCACTTCACTTACCGTTTTTAAATGCGTTTTAAAAACACACCTGTATCCACTGACATTTAACACAGTGTCATTTGATCCATTTCATTGTTTCTCATTTTTATTTGATGCTTTTACTTACATCTTTTTTTTTTACTGCCTTCATCTTATTGTTAAGCACTTTGGTAACAGCTGCTGTTTGAAATGTGCTTTATGAAGAAAAGTGACTTTTTCAGATTTGTGTAAGTGGAGACCTGAACCAAAAGACAAAGAGCTCAAACCTCGTATGAAAAAGGAACTAGTTGAGGTGGTTTGGGCATGGAGCAAAGAGGATTTCTGGACTCTTCTCAGGTGTACAGTGAGGACTTTGCAAGTTCTCCCACTTAGAAATCATGGAGGGGTCTGAAATTTTCATCTTGGATGCATGTCCACTGTGAGAGACAATCTAAAAAAAATTTCGGAAACCACAATGCATGATTTTTTTAAAGAATTTATTTGTGTGTTACTGCTGTAAATAAGTATTTGAACACCTGTGAAAATCAATGTTAATATTTGGTACAGTAGCCTTTGTTTGCAGTTACAGAGGTCAAATGTTTCCTGTAGTTTGTCACCAGGTGTGCTCACACTGCAGCAGAGATTTTGGTCCATTCCTCCACAGATCTTCTCTGGATCAGCCAGGTTTCTGGGCTGTTGCTGAGAAACACTGTGTTTGAGCTCCCTCCAAAGAGGGTTTAGGTCTGGAGACTGGCTAGGCCACTCCAGAACCTTGATATGCTTCTTACGAAGCCACTCCTTGGTTCTCCTGGCTGCGTGCTTCGGGTCATTGTCATGTTGGAAGACCCAGCCACGACCCATCTTCAATGTTCTAACCGAGGGAAGGAGGTTGTTCCCCAAAATTTCACATTACATGGCCCCGGTCATCCTCTCCTTAATATAGTGCAGTCGTCCTGTCCCATGTGCAGAAAAACGCACCCAAAGCATGATGCTTCCACCCCCATGCTTCATAGTAGGGATGGTGTTTATGGGATGGTACTCCTCATTCTTCGTCCTCCAAACGCGGCAAGTGGAATTAAGACCAAAAAGTTTTATTTTGGTCTCATCTGATCACAGAACTTTCTCCCATGACTCCTCTGGATCATCCAAATGGTCATGGGCAAACTTAAAAGACGGGCCTGGACGTGTGCTGATTTAAGCAGGGGAACCTTCCAGGCCATGCATGATTTTAAACTATACGTCTTAGTGTATGACCCACAGTAACCATGGAAACAGTGGTGCCAGCTCTCTTCAGGTCATTGACCAGCTCCTCCCGTGTAGTTCTGGGCTGATTCCTCACCTTTCTTAGGATCATTGATACGCCACAAGGTGAGATCTTGCATGGAGCCCCAGTCCGAGGGAGATTGACAGTCATGTTTAGCTTCTTCCATTTTCTAACAATTGCTCAAACAGTTGATCTTTTTTTTAGTGTGTTTTGTATTAGAATTAGAAAAATTAGAAAGTGTTATTCATTTCTTCTGTTACTTGAAAATTATTATGATTGAAATAATTGTTTGAAAAAAAGTCAGAGTCAGAGTCAGAGTTTCTTTATTGTCATTCGCACCTCATGTGGTACATGTGGTGGAGCGAAATTATGTACACAAGGTCCCAGTTACATCCAACAATAAAATGTATAAGAAAAAACAGTAATAACATCTAAGATATGAACTAAGAAAAACATCAACTAAATATACACTAAGCACTCATAACATAAAAACATTGAACATCAGCACAAACATGAACATGAGTCTGTGAGCAGATGTGCACGCATGAATACATCAACATTAAAACAGATCAGCAGCAACATGAAACAGATCAGCAGCAACATATGGTTTTTCACAGTGATTATTCTAGTTAGAGATTCATGAGTCTAACAGCCTCAGGGTAGAAGCTGTTCCTCAGTCTAGTGGTTCTACACTTAATGCTCCTTAACCTCCTTCCTGAGGGGAGTGGGTCAAAAAGTGTGTGTGCTGGGTGAGTGGGGTCCTTCATGATGCAGGTGGCCCTCTTCCTGCAAAAAAGGGGCAGATATAAGATTTTTTTCTTCTTTCTGGTGCCTTTCATTTTAAATCTTTTCTATCTTTTTTTTTATATATTGTTATGGAATTGTTTTGTACTTTTTAAAAATGAATAAACTTTATACCATACCATATACCATCTTTTTTCACCAAGCTGCTTGGTAATTGCCCCGTAGCCCTTTCCAGCCTTGTGGAGGTCTACAATTTTGTCTCTGGTGTCTTTGGACAGCTCTTTGGTCTTAGCCATGTTAGTAGTTGAGTCTTACTGGTTGTGTGGGGAGGACAGGTGTCTTTATGCAGCTAAGGACCTCAAACAGGTGCTTCTATTTTAGAATGATAAGAGGAGTGGAGGTGGAGTTTTTAGAGGTGGACTAACATGTCTTCGAGGATCAGAATTGTTGCTGATTGGCAGGTGCTCAAATACTCATTTGCAGCAGTAACACACAAATTACTTTTTTTTTTTTTTTTTAAATCACACCGATTTCCAGATTTTTTAAAATTTTTTTATAGATCTGTCTCTCACAGTGGACATGCACCTAAGATGAAAATTTCAGACCCCTCCATGATTTCTAATGGGAGAACTTGCAAAGTCGCCGGGTGTTCAAATACTTATTTTCCTCACTGTAGGTGATCCAGGACTTGGGAGGGATTCCCTCCAACATCTTAACATCTGTTTTCCTGCAGGTCGACCGTACCTGACCTGATCGAGTGAATCTCCACGTGTTGGCTCGTATAGAAAACCACAGACGCGTGACTTTTTGTGGAAGCTGCTCTTTATTTGAAAAAAAAAAGAAAAAAGACTTCAGTCATTGTCTGCTACACGATCTAATTACATAAAGATCTGCGAAGACAAACGCAGAGAAGATCCTGAATCAAACTTAGGTAGAGTCAAATTTGATTGAATTGCTTTCATATTTCAAACATCTTTCACCTTCGCGCTCAAAGAACAGTCAGTGTTTATTTACACAGGGCACCGATCAACAGTGCTGCTCCGCCCCTCTGCAGCTTCGCTCTTCTTTTGTACAATTAATTTACACCGCACCCCACCCGCACTCAACTCGTGTTGCGTCAAACCGAGCGCTCCGCTCGCCTCGCTGCAGCGTGGATCAAAGATGTGTGCAACATGAAGACAACTCCTTCACATTCAGAGTAAAAGGCAGCCTTGATTACAGTCAGTGAGTCAACGGCATGCCGAGCGTAAAGCGAAGGGAGCCCACCGCCGCCGCCCGGCGCCACGCTTCGTGGATGAAGTGATTTTCAGGAGACCGATCCGAAGTAAAACCCCTACAGGCACGCTACGTTACTGTTAACTGACTCGCACTCTAACCCCGGCACAATGGAGATTCTTTCGTCTAGTAAAAAAAAAAAAAAAAAAAAAAAACTTAAACACAAAAACTCGGAGAATATTTAGTGCTCTATCATTCCATTTATTAAGGTGTAATTTATATAATTTCTATTATCAACTCTACCTCTTAATGATAGTCTGAGATCCTTGTTTTAATGCTAAAGCACTCCCACCTGTGTTCAACATACTGTAGATTTTACATTATTTTTATTTTTTTTATTTTTCATTTTATCCCTCCCCCCACCCCCAAATCTTAAATCATTAATCATAAATAAATACAAACAACACACAAGGAATGTCTACTGTAAACACGGTAAAAAAGACGAAAACTAAACGGGTGTAAACGTCATTAGCATCACTACTCAGTGACAGTTAATCGACTGCGAGGGGTTTTGGATGATCTGGTCGAGAAAAAAGGGGAAGAACCGCCCTGCGTGTAGCTCCGCCCCCTTCCCCGTTAACTGTCGAAGCCTCTTCCGTCCGACCGCAGCTTCTCCAAATACATGACGTTTAAATTTCTCAGCACCCGACCTATCTTTACAGAGTTCACTGTAAAATGGATAAGAAGTCCTTTGGGGGGGGGGGGGGGGGGTGTTGTTAGAAAGCAGCATCACTCGGCGTTTCGGACATCTTATTACAAGAAGAAATGGGTGTGAGCTATCCGCCAAACGCCGTTTGGACGTGGTTACCATGGTTTCTGACAAGTCGGTGCACCTTTGTGTTGTTGACGTGTCTGTATTTGGGGGAGGGGGGGTCGTGGAAGCCTCTCTGAAGAGTTGGACTGCGACGAGGACAAAGTTCTGCTGCTAAGTGCTTCGTCTTCTGAGAGACACTTCCTTCAAATTACATGAACTGCATCTGCAAGGAGAGCAACAGAGACAGGGTCAGAGGTCGGGGAGTCGAATGGTTGCTACACTTCGGCTGTTAGCGAGGCTCTGCAGCTTAGTAAGGGTGCATCGTACCCAGGGGTGTCAAACGCAGTTAAAAAGGGGGCCAAAATTAAAAACTTGTTACAAACCAAGGGTCAGTTTGTCAATAAATTAACTGCAGTCAGATACTTGGCATCTTTTGTCCGTTGCAGGTTTTGACAGTTTCAAAGCTCATTTCACGTTCCGTCACGTTTTCCGCATCAAAATCAAAGATTACTAAAAAAAAAAATCAAATGAATTTTTCTTGACTTTAGAGTTTTCCATCTGTCATGCTATGTCTGCACTGAATAAAGCACACTCTGCTTTTTTTTTTTTTTTTTAAGTAAAATGAAAAGAGATAAGTATTTTACATTAAAATATCTCGAGGGCCAGATAAGATGTTAACAAGGGCCATAATTGGCCCTCTGGCCTTGAGTTTTATTTTGTTTATCATGGCAGAGCAGGAGTGGAGAAAAACATTTAAAGCACTCAACACAAAGCAAAGCAAGAATGGAGCCCTTAACGCCTGCCTGTAGATTTTAAATCAGCAGTGTGGAAAGGTTTAAGAGCAACAGTGGACGTACAGGAAGCCAGAAGGGTCAAATTTCCTCTGGCTTCAGCTGAACACCAATAAAACTAGGGATGCACCGATCCACTTTTTTCCCTTCCGATACCAATATTTGCGGTTTAGTGGTGACCGATACGGATCCGATACAGATGCTTGATTAAGTTGTTAGTGTTATTGCTGGAAGTTTTTTGTGCCACCCCTTGGAACTGTCGCTGTGCACGTATTGCACATAGCCGTCCAATGTGCTGGCCGAGGTAGAGTGAAATGGTTCCAGATGGCTGATCCTTTTGCTCGCTCCATTTTGAAAACTATGCGACGAGTTCGCTAGCGCACGACATCACTCAGAGCACAAAGCATAGACTTAGAGCGAATAGATCTGCCCAGTCATGGATCGGTCACATTGTCACGATACCCGATCCAGAAGTTTTTTTTCGATATCGGGACAAATACCGATGTTGGTATCGGATCAGTGCAGCTCTAAATAAAACCCTCACCTGGTGTTTATTAAGGAATCCCATACACGAACAGAACGTTAGCTCTTGCCTAGCTTAAAGGTTAGCATTGAGTTTTAAGACTTGAGCTTTATAGATTTAATCCAGGGGTCTGCAACCTCTACAATCCAAAGAGCCATTTCTCCCCTTTCCTTCACTAAATTACGTGTCCGGAGCCGCAGTACCTGCTACAACTGTGGTTATCGCCTGGTGGTCCATGGGCTACTTGAAGTTTTTTGGAGGGGGCTTTTCTGGCCTGTAGAGTGACATTATAGAACTTAAAATATTTAATGGTTTTTAACATCAATAGATATTTTTACATTTTAAAACACCAGATTCTTGTAAAGAAGAATAGTTTTTACTAAATTGGTGCAAATTAAAACTATTAACTATGCAGGCTGATGCGATTTTTTCTTTTAATTGTGGAAAAATTAATAAAGTTAAAGTGAGTAAGGTGCAGGTTGCAGCCTCCTGGTTGAGGCTAAAAGGACAAAACACTTAAATATCCAGTTCAGTGTTGGAATTTGTTGATTTGTTTTGATGCACAGTTTACAGCTGATCGGGGAGTAAGACAGTTCATCCTGTGTTTTGGTGACAAACCTCACTGCTCTGTACACAACAGGACAGGGTGAGTTGTTTTTCTGCATGTGTTTTATGAAGAGTTATTTAGAATAATTCAAAAGAAGCATAGATTTTGGCACGTTTATTTTTCCTGGTGAATTTATACTGAATATGTCTGAGTGCAGGTGCACCGCTTGCGTTTATGATCTGTTGGAGACCAAACGACGGGCCGGAAGTGTCCGTTTGACTCGAACACAATCTGCTAATTAGGTTGGAAAGTTAGGGTGAAGTTTAAATGTCTTGTAGAGGAAAAACTTGTATAATTTTACCAATTTCAAATATTTTATAGTTTGGTTTGTGAATCTTGTTTTTTTTATATATCACGTTACTAAAATAACTTGTCAAACTTGAGGAATCTAAATGCGTCATTTTGTATAGATGAGGTCATTTCATCCGTTTGTTGCTGAATCAAAGCAAACATGAACAAATATTTACTTCTCGTTTTATTTTAGTCCATGCCACAACTTCTGCAGACTGATGCAATTAAATTAAATTGAATTAGCTCTGATTAAATTTTTTTCATAAATCACAAAACAGTTGACTTGTTTAACTCCTGAGTCCACCCTTATTTCAGAAGCTCTACAGACTCCTTAAAGTATTTATGTATGAAAAGTAAAATTAATTAAAAATACGTTTATCAGGATAAACACCGGCGCCTTCAATAAATCAGCTAATATTCTCTGTACTATTTAAACATTTAGTGGATCTAATAATTTTATTCAAATTATACAATTTATTAGGGATGCACGATATTATCGTCCGACGTTGGCGATAAAGTTAAATATCGGACATTCCATCAAAATAACACCGATATAAAAAAGGTGGCGCATACATACTATGGCAAGCCAAGTATCTCATTAATAGTCACTTGGCTTGCCATAATGCTTGAGGGCCCTCTAGCAGCTGCACTTGGTAATGTTCAATATTTTTCATGTCAGAATGAATGAAATCATCAAATCTCAGCCAAAAATTCAGTTATAAATATGGGAGGAAAAAAGAACAACGTCACTTTGGTGTATAAGTCGCAGGACTTACAAATTTATGCAAAACGGTGACACTGATATGGTGACAAATACGGTAACGGTCATGAATAAATTTGACATTACACATAATCCAAGTTGAAGTGTTATGGCATCTGCATTTGGCAGCAGGCCAAACTGACAAAGACCATGCAGAATAATGTATTTTAATTCCACAGCAGAGGAAGCTATGTAGTCTCTGTAAGTAGGTCTGGGGGGGGGGGGGAGATCAGTTTTGGTATCGGTCATCAGCCAAATAAGTTTTAACATATCGGATATTGGTCAAAAATCCAGTATTGTGCATCCCTACATTTTCTATATGATGCTAGCAATGTGGTTTCATTTTTAAATCACTGCGTTGGGTTCATATTTACATTCTGCTGAGTGTTTGTTTGTTGAAGGATTACTACGCTGTAACTGAGCACATTAAAACATCTTTTACCAAAGAGAAGCATAAAAACTTCTCTGGACTTTAATTCGGACACATCTTTGTTAGCCATTGGTTTGAAATGTACAATTTAAAAAAAAGTTAAAGAGGGATACAGATCAGTTCTTATTTTCAATCTGCTGGAGTTTACCAGTGTTTAACTTGAAGGAACAAAGCTCAGCAAACAGACGACTGACCCAATTCACTCGTGAGAAACGTGTCAAGGCGTGGGGGAAAAAAAAAAAAAAAACACGAAGGAGTTTGGCTCCTTCAGACAGAAACGAGCAACAGAAAGAACATTTCAAGCAAACATCTGATCTGATGGAAAGAACACAAAGGGGTTGGAAAGAACAGAAAACTGTTTCTGCACGGGACACACAACACATGCAGGTGCATCTGCAAGCAAAGAGCATGATGTACCTAAAGAGATGCTCTACAAGAAATCCTTGAGAGAGAGGTGTGCAAACGGGTCCTGTCCAGGGGCTCGGAGAGGACTCTGGCTGGAAGGACTAGAGGCTGCAGAGGGCTAACAGGAAGTGGGAGGACCAGAGGAGAAGTCAGAGTCAGTTCAGAGACTGAAGGGAGGGATGAGATTAGTTTGGAGAAGCTGTGATGTGTGAAAGATGGGTTAATTAAAAAAAAAGGAGGAGCTGCTCGGACACACGGAGAGATGATGATCCACAGTTTTGGTTGTTGTCACTTCAGCTCCAGAGTGAAGTTGTTCAAACTGTCATCTTCAGCAGAGTTCACGCCGACCACAAAGCTCAGAGACAAACTACGGTACGCCACGCAGCACCAGAGACTAGTTGCTCCTGAGAACTCAAACTGCACCCACCTGAGCGCTGGACACGGAGCCGAAGGGGTTGGGAGGCCTCATGACGGGCTGGGTGTACATCATGGTGGGGGGGTTCATCATCCCCATTGAGCCCATCTGTGGAGGCTGCAGAGGGTTTCAGGTCAAACACTTCATTTATCACGCTATTAAAAACATTAAATAGGTCTGATGGCTGCTGTGGTGCTGGGAAATCCCTTCATATAATGTTTGGCGTCACTATAAAGCTTGGGAATTCCACTTTTTAAATATGAGGCTCCAGTTCTCAGTGATGTCTGTCCAGATAAAAAAAAAATAAAAAAAATATTCTTATACAGTTTTTAAACTGGTGAACAAAACTAGCTCGTTGCTATCCAGGAGAGAAATCAACAAATTTCAACAAACTATGAATCATTTTGAAGCTTCATAGACTTGAGAAATTAAAATAACTCCATCCTGAGAAAACCCTGGGTCGTACAGATGCAGAGCTTCTTCTGTTTTTCTTAAACTTCAGCACCAATTCAACCTTCGACGTTTTACTTAAAGACATTGCAGACTCAGATCAGGTGCACTGAACACGTTCTTTTACACATCAAGAACTTTAAATGTTTTTAATGTTTTCTCGGCTTCAGCTCAAATCGGATCATAAAAACCGTGAAACTGGTACATAAAACCTTGTCGTGGTACTTACCATGGGATATCCCATCATGCCTGTGGGTGTGGTGGCAGGGAAGGCCATGATTGACGGTGGCTGAAGAGAAAAACAAAATGGTAAACTTCAGAGTCGAGGCTTGTGCGTGAATTCTTTGAGCTGCTGTGACCGCGCACGTTCGTTTCTGTGCTTCATCTTTGGGACGAAAACATTCTGGATGTTTTGCCTCAAGTTTATTCTCATTGAACTGAGAAACAATTGTTTGAAAAGTGCTCATTAAAAGAGGATTCTGTCTGTTTTTAGTCTAAACTGAGGAAAAAAACGACTTCAACGATTAAAAAAAGTAAACAACAACGATAAATCTTTTTTATGAGAGGACGATCGTACCGGGATGACCGAGCCTAAACGGAGACATAAATCTGACTGAAGACAAAGTTAACATTTACGAGTTGCTTTTTCATTATTTAATTACTGCTTCAAATTAAACTCAAACACGTCGGTTCACTGAATCGAGCTGTGAGGTTCAGGCTGGACGACCAGAACAAGCTGCTGGTTCGTTCTTTGTTGTAAACTCTGCAGCTGAAAATCGTCTTTCTTCAAGAGTTTCCATCGATTAGAAATGTTTGAAACACGCGAGTTGTAGTTTCATGTCCGCCATAAATATAAGCGCAGTGTTGGGATGCGTGCGTCACCATGGAGACGGGGTTCCAGGTCGTGGTGGGCGCCGCCTTGGGCTGCCAGTTGGTGCCGCCGGTCATCCTCCTCTCCCCCGGCTGGCTCCAGTGGATGTCACTGAGGATGAACACAGCTCAGGTTAGCAGCAGCAGCAGCAGCAGCAGCAGCAGCGGCGGCGAGCTGCTGAAAAATCACAACGGAGACGACACTTACTTCTTCATGGTGCCGTTACCGATGCCGAGGTCTGAAAAACAAAAAGAGAAACAACCAGCCGCTGTTAGCCTGAGAAAACCCGAGCCTTAACGAAAACGTTGATAAGAGCGGCCGGACGCAACGCGCCGCTACACTCACTGCCGACGAGGTTGGCCAAAGAGGAGTCGAGGTCGTCCGACACCAGCTTCTCTGGCAGCTGACTGGACAACTGGTTTGAGCCGGCGAGGGTCGGTTTCAGGATGCCTCCGGAAAGATCTGACGGGAGGAAACAGAACAATCACACGCCTGACAGATTTCTTGTCAGTGCAAAGTTTCTTTTTTTTATCAGCGATCATCAGGTTTGCTGCACATCCACATACAAACATCTGTCGTGCTGCAAACAGTCGAGCTGCAGAGCAAGAAACCATTTAAATCCACAACCATGCAGTGACGCCAGTGACTCTCAGCAGCATATAACCTTCATAATCTGACTTTAAATCAAAGTTTGATAAACGCTACGTCAACAGAAATAATCCTTTCAATTTCTTTTGAACTTCACCATTTTTCTCTGCTGCTGCCGTAGCGCCGGGAAATCCCTTCATATAATAAATGGCACCGTTTTTGAAGTTTGGAGATTTCCCCTTTTAAAAATGCAGGAGGTGCAGTACTCTTCTAAACGGAACTAGCCCGTTACATGGCCGGGTCAAAAAGCACCACGTTCCAACAAAGTACGAGCGATTTAGCAAATTTGGATAACCCGAGGCCATAAACGAAACCAGAAGAGCCATGGAGGGGGCCCTAAACGAGTGACTGAAAATAGTAGTGTTCAATATTTTCAGCCAGAATGAATGAAAACGGTCACATCTCAGTCAAAAATCGTTTTATAAATATGGGGGAAAAATCCATAAATACGTTACTTCGGCGTATAAGTTGCAGGGCATGTAAATTGTGCAAAAAACAGATTTATAGGTAGAAAAACACGGCACCAAAACAACTTGTTGCAACCATCTTGAATCCAGTTGACTTCAGAAGTTCATCGGTTGCAGAGGATTTCTTTCATTAAAATTACAAGATATTTTGCTAACAGGATACAGGAACAGTTGATGTAAGTTTTATTTAAAGACCTTGTTTGATCAGCTAGTCGCGCCACATCTGTAAAACTGACGGACTCGGAGCCATTTACGACATGTATTTACATGATCTCCCTCTTCCAGTCGGGAGACAATAAAACCGGTTTCTACTCGTTTACTTATCAACTCAACATCTTTCAAACCTGCTGCTCAGGTGTTCTCAACGACTTCTTCAAATTAAATTCTCACCATCAGAGTTGAGGCTGCCGCCGCCGCCGCCGGAGGCTTTGTTTCCAAAAACAGACTCGAAGTCCACCTGGAGCCCCCCGGCTGGTTGCTGTGGCGGGGCCTGTGGCGTCGAGTACCCTTCAAAAAGAGATGAAGGAGCTGCAGTTACAGAGTTCGAAGGACAGGCAGGAGCGCCAAACAAAAACTAGAAGAAACGTGAACAGCAGCGAAGCGGGGTCCCTGGAGCACCTTCCATACTCTACCTCTGAATAGACCGGCTACAGCAGAGGGCTCAGCGGGGAAGGGAGCCTGGTGGTGCTGAGCGACCGACACCGGACCACAGAAGGAGTCTGACACGCCACGGCAAGCAGGAAGGCAAAGAGCAGGAAGAGAGGAAGAGAGGAATTCACGGCTGAGTCAGAGAGACGGCAGAGAAACAAGAGCAGCAGAAAAAAGCAGGAAGGAGGCGCTAACGAGCTGCTAGTCCTCAACTCATTTAGGGATTTATTCAAAAAGGCGGGAGAGCAAACACAAACAGCAACCAGGGAGGAGACGAAAGGAAACGTTTAACATTTTGGGAATTTCTCCTCTGCTGCAACTTTAATCAAATCAACACATTTATCGTCCTTCAGACCATCTTAAACAACATTTTTAAAGCTTTTCTCTCAAACTAACACTTCTTTTCAATAAAATGGACAATTATCTACTCTAAAATGTTTTTACCACTAGCTTGGCTTCATATTTCCATATTTTTTTCTAAAGCTGCATAACGTTACCTAGATTTATCAATTTATAGACACCAGAATAACGTACAGCTACACTGTTTTGATTATTTAAATATATGGATTTAAAACAATAATTCTACCTTCCTGCAACTAAATCCAATTTTTTTATTATTTTATTTTAGTTTTTATATTATATGTGTATAATTATATATTTTTTATGTATACATTAGTTTTTATTATCATTTGTGTAAAAAATATTATGTACTGTACCATATTAGTGTTTGATCATAACCCAAAGTGATTTTTTTTTTTACTTTAGAATTATTCTGACATTTTATTTTGTGAGCAGAACTTCAAATTAAAAAGGTAAACTTTGCTGTTCTCGTTTTGACACTTGTTTTTTCTTCTTCCATGATTAACTTATGCACAGTTTGAGCAGATTGGCAAACATCTGCACATTTTGGTACATTCTCCAAACCTATTAACTAATCACTTTTATTTTAATCTATAAAGGATTTGGAAAAATCACCTTAAATACAAAAACTGAAAGCTTAAAGACTCTTTTGAAGGAAACCAACGGCTCTCGACTCCCTGAATACATCGGAGAATATAAGAATACAAGTTCCTACATAAAAGGAATTGAACAATGTGGAGTTACAACTTTTTTATGTTTCATAGCTCTAAACAGATCTGAAATCAGACATTTCACTCCTTTGTGATGCTAAAATAGCCAGTTTTCAAATATCTAATGAAGATACAGAATCATTAACAAAAACCCCTGAAGTACATGTATGTACAAGTATGAACTAAAAGCTAAAAGATGATGCAGCTTTACTTAAGTTAAGCTTCAACATTTTGGTTTCGGAGTACTGTTCTTTAAAGAAGTGCAGGCAACGCATCCTAAAGTTGAGATGAGAAACTAAATCTACAAAAAGAAAATCATGGTTTTAATTCCCAAAGTGTAAAACTCTCCCTCCATCCAGTAAGAGTTTAGTCCTACAACACAGATCATAGTAACGGCTCTGAGGGGATCTGGTGTCTGTTTTTAGGAAACAGGATGAGGTGGGGAGCCTTGAATAAGTACCTGAGATGGACGGCTCTATCCGCACTGTGCGTTTGTAATTGGTTGAAACTGAAGAGTTTGTGTCAGTAAAGGGATTGTAAAGATCTGGAGAATCAAAAATAGTGTAAGAACAGGTTGAAACTTAAAGCTCTACGTCATAGTTGCTCTACAACATCAAACCGTTCAACAGAAAACGATGAGCAGAAGCCAAAAACTCAAAGTCCACAAAAACAGCATCTTCAGGTGTGTAGACAAGTTTAGATGTCCGGTACATCAACTCAAATTAAGTCATCGTATTTGCTGATGATATCATTTTGTTTCTTTGGAAAAAATATCTGCTGAAGCAAACTTTGAATCTAGAGTACACTTCCAAAATGTTTTAATTAAAATATTTGTATGTCAATAAAACAAATTGTCATGTTTGCACGATACAATAAAATTCATATTCTTTTTCTCTACCAACAGGAAATACTCAGGTCTCTTCTACAAGAAAAGTTCAAACCTAAATATTTAGTTCAACAAAAAAAGTTTAGTAACTCTCCTTTAATTTATCCTCTACTCACCGGCCTCTTTATTAGATACAAATTGTTGGATTCAGGCTTCCCAGTTAAGCTTGTCACGATAAATTTTGCTGGGCGATTAATTATATCCGAAATTATTGTGATAAATGATTATATTGTTTGAAATTTGGACAACAATTAGTAATTATCGTCAAATTTAAGAAGAAATGTTGGTAATTTTTTTGCATGTAGTACCTTCTTTGACCACTGAATGGCAGTATAAGACTGTTTGATCCGAAGGATGGATAGTGAGGGAGTGAGCAGCGTGTCTAAGAAAAATGGGAGGGAGGCCCCTTGACGTGACACGGGCCGTTTATCTTTGGTTCTCAAAATGGCGGACGCTCAGTGTGGTTTAAGCTCTTTAGCATAGCATTTGTCACACAAAGCTTTTAATAAACAAACAATCAGTAAACAAGTTCTCAGCTTCTTTTTGCAGAAAAAAACTTTTTACACCAAGACACGTGTTTCAGTGAATTTTGGAGCTTCGACAAGATTGAGGCATTTTTCCTCTGAGGTTGGCTTGTTAGCTTAGCTTCTCAGCTCAGCTCCTTTTAATGATCCAAAAATGTGATTTTAACAAACTTAACAGATTTTAAAGAGAAAATAGAAAGGGGGGGGGGGGGGGGCAGAGCCTTTTTGTCATCCAGTGTCTTCAGTAGAAAGAGAGACACAAAGAAACGATAAAGCTGATAAATGAAAATCAGGTTGATCATTTTCATTTATCATGCAATTAATTGATTTGTTTATTGTGACAGGCCTATTCCCAGCATTTCATGAAAACAAAACTCCAGAGTTGTACAGGAAATATTTCTGACACGAAACGCTCAATTCTCAGAGACGTGTCGGGCCCGAGTCACGTTCAGAGAGGACAGAAGTGTGCTGCTCAGAACGGCTAATTATTTGTGGCAGAGACTCAAGTTCTTGCAAACGTTCCTCAGACTCTGGTCCACAGTGACATGTTGGCGTCACGAGTGGCTGCAGGTTTGTCCGCGGCACGTCTACGATGTGAGGGTACTGCTCCACCATGTCCAACTGGACCCAGATCTGGTGACCCCGGAGGCCGCTGGAGTTCAGTGAATCCAGACTCATCAGAACATTTTACGAGTTATTGTTCAATCAGAGTCGACTTGAACTATAAATTCAGTTTCCTGTTCTCAGCTGGCAGGAGTGATGCTCGGTGAGGTCTTCTGCTGCGTCTAGGCTGGACATGTTGGGTCAGAGCCGGTTCTCCACAGACCTTTGGTTTGCACAGAGTGAGCTACTGTCGTCTTTCTGTAATCTCAAACCAGTCTGTCCAATCACCTCTGACACCAACAAGGCTCTTTTAAATCCACACAACCACCCCACACTGGATCTTCTCTCTTTTTTGAACTTTTCTCTTCAAACCCTTGAGATGGTTGTGTGTACAAATTCCAGAAGAGCAGCGGTTTCTGAAAAAGCAGCTAGTTTGGCACCAACAACCACTAATTCAGTCCCATAAATCGTCTCTCCTTCATTCTGAGGCCTGGTTTGAACTTGAGCAGCTCATCTTCACCACGTCTACAAGCCTAAAAATGTGGAGTTGCTGCCATGTGACTGACTGGTTAGCCGACTGTGGTAAGATGTTGAGCAGGTGGAGCTAATAAAGCAGCCGGCGTGTGCACGAGTTTTAACATTCCACCTGTTAACAGGCTTCATGTTCTGTACGTTTAGCTGCAAGTTTGATCTTCAAGTTATGATCGTTTTTATACAAACTTATAATTTGCGTTTTGATTTCCAAAAGCCTTCATTTGCTCGATTTCCCTCTCATATCTTGTTCCAGGATACCGGTCACAGCAGAAAGGGAAACCAGCTGCATTTTCACAGTCTAACATTAAACACCGAGGCTAGTGGGAGGTTACACTCCAACCTCGCAATGATTTTTTTCTTCCTGATCTCACCTCCATATTCAATTAATTTTCCAATTGGTCTTTTTATGCAGGTTTTTAATAGCACAAATGTAGACATCACTAAAAGCACTGATTGGTATTTGGGCTATTTTCCTGTCTCTGGTGCAGCTGTGACCCTCGACAACAAGGCAGCTCTAACAAGTAGTTTCAGAAATAAACCTTGGTGAGAAATGAGCTTAAACAGAAACTTAGTGTGACTAATCAAATAATTTGATGTAGTCAAATTTCGACCACTGTCTGGACTCAAAGTTTCACAAACTAATTTCAACTTCCAATTTGCATTTCAAGACTCATTTAATGTCTCTAAACTCCTGAATTATTGTTGTCAGTAGGAGGAAAACTTTAAGGAAATAAGCCTTATGCATGTGGTTGTTTGGAGCCGTTCCAGCCTCCGTCACATTACACATCCAACGCATCCAACGCAGTGCTTAAATAAAACGTTTACAATCACAAATGAGGCGGTTCATCGGCTGTGACCTCTACTGGCCTTACAACGAGCCATGGGGAGGGTGGAGGTTTGCTCAGCAGCAGAACATTGAATCAATTCATCTGATCAAAAACTTTAGACTTTATGAAACTCGTGCAGCTGAGCCTTTAAAGAAGAGACGTCAAGAAAATCTAATGGCAAGGAAAACTGACTGAATAACTCAACTCAGCAGGGCTGAGCTATTCTGAAAGAAAAAGGAGGAAGAAGAAGAAGAAATGAGGAAGAAAGAAGGGAGGAAGAAAGGAAGAAGGGAGGAAGAAAGGAAGACTGAAAGAAGAAGAAAGGAGAAGAAGAGAGGAAGAAAGAAGAAAGAAAGAAGAAAATAAAAAAGAAAGGAAGAAGACAGACAGAAAGAAAGAAAGGAGGAAAAAGGAAGAAAGACAAAAAGAAATAGACTAAGAAGAAAGATGTAAAATCACATCTGGACTGGTGGTGTGTTTCTGGTGCAACACCTCAGGACTACATCTAAGACCGAAGCGCCGTCCTTCAGAAAAATACAAGCATTAAATGTAACTGCAGATAATCCGGCCTCGATGAAGCATGAAGGACCAGAGACAAAGTCTTGAGCTGGACTTCCCAACAGGAGGCTGAAGGAGAGATTACATTTACAGCTGGAGCAGCTGCGGCTCATTTAGACACAAGTACAGACGTACGACATTTACAGTAAAGCAGCACAACAAACATGCAAAGTGCAGCACTTCCACTGAGTTTAGAGCTGGGGGGGGGGGGGGGGGGGGCATAGTTGCCAGCAGCTAAAAAATAAGATTTCAATAATAAATAGTACATTTAAATACATAAAGTATGTAGCTTTTCTCACTGCAGTGTAATCTTCTGGGCATAAGAAAAAAGTTTAGAGAATCAAAGAACCTTCGTTTTAAAGTGGGCTACGGCACTTTTTAACAAATGTACTTTAATAATGATTAAATATGAACAAGCGATATGCTAATGTCCCCCCATCATAGTGAATGTTGGTACTTTGGGAGATGTTTTTCTGGATTGGAATCAATCAGGGAATGTAAACCTGAATGTTTCTGGTGCCAGATGTTCAAGTGGGCAGGAGTTACGCAGTGAAGAAGAACAGAGGTGGCGTTTGTGCTTTGCTTGTCCGCGCTGGGACAGAGTGACGGATCCTGACAAGGGAGCAATTTAATCCACCAGTGATCAGTGGTGGTCTTAGCCCCCATGGATTATTCTTTGGCTGCCCCATCGGCCCCCTCAATCATTTGAGGAAACTATACTTTTAAGATGTTTAAAAACTAAAAACATGGATTAAAGCAGAAAAAAAAAAATCTTTCCACGAAACTTTCTACACCTTGAGGTTACCCAACTGATGTGCGTCAGGAAGCAGATTATGGAAATGTTCCCCAACAGCTTTCCATTAAAAATTATGTGCTTTTTGTGAAGGGGTGGGAGGCATCATCTATCACTTATTTTGCACAGTCACCTTGTGTAGTAAGCGCAGTACTTTTTGTACTTGGATACAGGGTTTAAAACTTAACATGACGTGTTAATGCTCAATGTGGGCACCCCCTTCAATAAACGTAGGAGAAACGCTGAAGTGTCCATGCAGATAAGTGAGTACAGATGTATGAAACAGAGTGACAAAGACTTCTGAAGAGTAACAAAATGAGTCGTTACCACCAAACACTTCATGACCAGATGTCCTAGAGGAAAAGCTAACACCGTCTGAAGACACGACAGGTAAGTGAGTGGCATCGACAACGAGTTTTGAGAGGAAAGGGTTAAGGTTTGGCATGGATTCATCTCCCGCTTCAGTAGAGGTGAAAGGATCTACGTAGGCAGAAGAAAGAGAAGACAGAAGACAGTGGAGAAGGGAGGAAGAGTCAGACAACAACAAAAAAAGGAGAGCATGCAGAACAGAGGTCACTGAAGTCCAGAGACACGGGTGTCGGGTTGGAGGCGCCGAGGAGGAGGAGGAGTTTACCTGCCCACGCTGTCGCCGCCGGAAGCCCCGTGGAGCCGGACTGCAGGGGGGGCTGGAAAGTGGACTGAAGGTCAAAAAGGTCACTCTCCATCTTCACTGCACTGCAGAACCAAACACACACATTTCAACCATTTTACAAGCATCCACTTTTCACAAACCCTGGAAACGAAAACACATTTTAGGTACCAACTCACGAAAAAGACTTTAGTCTCAACTATGCTAATTCAAAAACAAAATTAGAACTACAAATGCTAATTTGTTGTTGGTTTACAAAGTTTAAAATAATACATTTAAGCTTGCTGTGGAAAATCAAACATTTCACACAAAAGTCTAAAAATACTCTTAGAAGAAACGCTTTTCAATCAAAGTGATCAAAATTAGAGCCGTCAGTTCTAATCCGGGCACGAAGCGGGCCGGGCCATAATAATGAGCTGGATGGGCAGGCTGGGTCAGTGTCGGGCTTTCAGAGTCAGCAAACACACGGCTGACAATCCAATCAAACAGCAACATGGCTTGCCATACGATCACCAGCCGCACGCAGCCATTTGACCGCGCGCTGACTGGCCTTAAAAAGAGTAAAAAAAAAAAAAAAACCCCGTTAAGCTTCAGATGGGACTTTACTGCCAGGAAGTGATCCAGCGCCCAAATGGATGTTCAGCCGCTGCACTCAGTGGACGCACACGGCCATCGACCCAAACGGGTGAGATCCCAAAATATCCTAGCAGATATGTCAGAGCAGGGTCCATGTCTGAATAATGCAGAATGCAGGAAGGAGGAATTTAATGTGCTTTGATGGCCATGAAAGGACAAACACCCCCTCAGCTCAGATCTTCTGCCCCTTTTACTCAGCCGTGCGTGTCCGCCGACTGTTAGTAACTATATAAGCAGTCAAAGCTTAATTAAAAATGTCCAGGGCTTTTTCGGCTTCGAACCTGAAATTACTGTTAATTTGTCAGGTCGGGTTCGGAAATTATGGCTACAGGCCGGGGCCGGGTTTTTTGGGCCCGAATGCAACTCTAATCCAAATGCTGTTTAATTAGAATACTAAAAAATACCTTTAATTGTTAAACAGTTTGTGTATTGTTGCATCACTTGTTAACAAGAATGTGACACAAAGAAGCCAGTGTTTATGTTCCCGTCTGTTGGTAAAAGGCTGAAATTGAGCGGTACCGCAGATAAATACACTTAAATTTGTTACAAGTAAACATCAACAAAATGTCAGGAAATCCCGTTCTGAAACACAAAGAGTTCTGTCTTACAAGCCAAAAAAGGAATAATTCATGAAAGGGACAGCTCAGTTTTCTTTTGAAAGCCCAATTAATTAGTCAAATACCTTCTTTTATTAACGTCAATGAAACCTCATCACTGAAAATGTGCTTACTGAAATGTCAAAGAGCAAAAAAAAAAAAAAGTCCAGACAAACAAGATGCGCTCAGATAAACCAGCACAAGTACTTCTTTGTTGTTGTACTCTAATCCATTTAAATGCATCATGTAAATAAGATAAATGTTTTATGTCCTACGTCCAGCTGTAGAATGGGAATAATAAAGATTTGTTGAGCCAAGAGTCAACATAAGCAGATCAGAAGATCCTGATTAGCTTTGGTTTTAGAAATAAAAGAGCCGTCACTGTGAGCAGTACCCGTTTGAGCAGCTGGGTGTGGAGAAGAGGTCTATGGTTGGTGCGGTGCTGATGGTGCCCCCGGTGGTGGAGACCGGTGACGTATCCGTTGTGGCAAAGGATGGCCTCTTGGAGAGCTCTTTAAGCCGTTGTTCCTGAGAAGGGAGGAGAGCATCGGCTCAAGTAAACACTAAACAGATGCACATTTTAAATACTAAAAAAAAAAATACACAAACGGGCAAACCTTCAAAGCTTTGAGTCGGGCCTGCTCCTCCTCGAGAGCTGCCTGCTTCTCTCGTTCGTCCACTTTAGTGAAAGACATGCCTGTGCTGGCCAGTGATGACACGGCGTTTGACAGAGTGCTGGCCCTGCAGGAGGGAAACATAAAAACGACTTGCATTAGCGATCAAACACACTGAAGATTATGAGGAGAGAGATGGAGAGTTATCAGACCTGCTTGCTGCAGTGGAGTCTTTGACTTTCTTGCCCTCTAAAGAGGCCAGATGTTGCTCCAGAGCTTCAAGGAGGCTACTAGGAGCCTGTAACGACAAAAACCAGTTAGCTACGACTTGATGCAGGATATGTTGAGTATAAAGGACATTAACACCATACTGGACAGTGGTGGGCGATGCAAGATGGAGTAGAAAACACTACATCAAAAACCCAGTAAAACAATGTTTCGTCAGCCAATTAATGGATTTGATTAGGAGGATTACATCATTCACCCACCACTGATCGATGACTGCATTCCAGCCAAAAGCTACTTTGGATGAGAGTAGCCTCTGTGTGGGATGATGAACTGCACAACGGCGCTTTCAACAAGCCAGGCGTTGTTGAATCGGCCGTGCCTAAGAGCAATGGGGCAGCTTTTTTAAACACGAGATGAGCTATTCTGGGGGGGGGGGGGGGTCCACCTCAACGACAAGTGAACAGTATTTACCACAGCCAGCGTTTTTTCCTTCAACTGTTTTATCCCCCCCCCCCACCGAGATGTAGGAGACAAGAATCGGAGAAGAAGGCATGCAAAAAGACAACACCGAGGCAAGTCACGGGCATAAAGAGTGAAATAACAGTACTTACACAAACTGTGAACTAAAGTGGAAAGATAAGGGGAAAATACAGAATATAAAGGTGGTGACAGTCAGAAGGAAAATGCATTTTAACTCGAGGTTATTGGGGTTAAATATTTGTGCAGGAAAATAAACAAAAGCTCCCCAGTTCTGCAACAGCATGTGCCGCTTTCATGGTTGTAATTTAGGAACGTGTAACAGGTCACTGCAGATTTTAAGAGTGAACTGCAGCGACAGAATTGACTTCTTGACACCTTTATTTACTGATTCAGATGTGGGTTAGAAGAGCAGAAGGAAACTCAGAAGCAGGAGAGGAAGAAAAAGGGATGAAAACGAGAACCAGGCAAAGAAAAACGTCCTTTTTCCAGCAGTCATGCACCCCAGAAGGAAATCATGCAAAGTGCCTTGTCTTTGGAGAACATCTGTACTGTCTGGATCTATGCCTCTATTCTAGTTTGTCAGAGAACAAAGCCAATCTGTGCAGTAAAATAAACATAAAAATGTGTGGTTTTAGACTGCGTACCTGTGAAAGGTCTGGGATGTCGCCTCGATCGATTCCCACCTGCTGTTAGAAAGAAAACCAGACGACTGTTACAAAACTCCACGCCCCGCTGGCATTGACGGGTTTATGTGTGGAGAGAGAAAAAAGAAAAGCTGTGCAGCTTACCTCTGCTACTTTGAGGAATTCTGATATTCGAGTCATTCGAGTGAGAAACTTCTTGTAAATGTCCAAGCCTTCTTTACACTGGGTCTTCTTCATGTCGAAGTATTTCTCTGTTCGGTGAAAAAAAAATAAAAAATCACTTGTTTGCCGGGAACAGCCACAAGCACAGGGGTAAAAGACAAAGTGAAAACTAGAGAAAGGGGGTTCCTAACGGTCTTACCGAGCAGGTTGATAATGCCTTCATTGTAAGCAGCAAAGAGCCTGATGGAGTCTTTGAAGAGGAGCATGAAGGCTGCGTTGATGACTCCATTAGTCAGCTCGTTGGCATTGACCTGAAAGAAAAGCAATCAGCAAGGAAATTTATTTTAAAGCCTTTTTGTGGTCTGCAAGTTAAGAAAGCTCAGGAGCTTCCTGTTTGTAATGCATGAGCTCCAGCAAGGTGCATGAGGGTTCCCAGCATTGCAAAAAAAACTACATTCCCCGAGTTTTCCCCAAGTAAATCCAACAATTCCAGGAGATAATTTGGTCACATGAGACACAGAATGTGTGGCAAAGAGTCATATTCAGAAATGACAGTAGATATACCGTTACAGGACGCATGCGGTAACAGGAGTCATGCGGTAACCGGAAGCATACGGTAACCGGAAACATACGGTAACCGGAAG